GGGGCACCACCCGAACATACCGACAAGTTTGAAATCATAAAACGAACTCGCTCGAACCCTCGGAACGCCCGAAACAACTCTAAATCTAAGAATCACTCCCTGAAACCAATTGAATCAAATTTATGAACTTGAAGTTCTTCAATTCACATCTGATGCGATGAAATACACTTATACTACTGGGATTGACACCAAATTTTGCATACAAGTCTTAAATGACAATATGGAACTATTCTGGGTCTCGAAATTCTGTTCGGACCTCGATAACACAAAAGCCCGCTCCAAACCAAATTTCAAGAACTTCAAAATTCTTAAAGATCCAACTTTCACTATTAGGCGCCAAAATGCTCTCGGGTCATCCAAAACCCGGTCCGGGCATACTCCCAATTCCGAAATCAACATACGAACCTGTTGGAACCTTCAAATTCGAATTCCGAGGTCGTTTACTTAAAATGTTGACCGAAGTCAAACTTGGCCTTTTAAGCCAATCTCAAGGAACCAAGTGTTCCGATTTCAACCCAAACTCTTCCAAATCCCAAACCAACCATCCCCGCAAGTCATAAGTTAGTAAAAGCAAGTACAGGAAGCCTTATTTAGGGGGACGGGGTTCTAGAAAGCAAAATGACCAGTCCGGGCACCTCCAAAATTGACCTCTGCCCCTGGCCGGGGCACCTCTGAATGACCAAGAGAATACCACTATCCTACTGCCTGAAACAGAATAGACAGTACATAATAAAACAAAAAGAAGAGAAACTCCGGTATACTGTTGAACGGCTCAAAAGGGGCAGCTCAACGTGAGATGTCGGTCAAGTATCAGAAACGCGCGCCGGACTGGTAGCTAGATGCACCTGCCTTAAGTACAGAAGCGTAGTATGAGTACATAAACAACATGTACCCAGTAAGTATCCAGTCTAACCTCGAAGAAGTAGTGACGAGGGGTCGACTTGACACGTACTAGGGTCAATAATAACATACTTTACGTGTTACGCTAAGCATAGATGTCATAAATAAATAACAGTTAATAACAGGAAGTGACAAGCTTTTTGATAAATAACATTTCAGTTAACAATCCATATTCCAAGGCATTTTAGACAGTTCAAATCACAAAAAGTACCAGGCAAGTAGCATGCGCAAAAAAAAAATACCGAGGTCGTACGGCCCGATCCAACATAAAATAAAATGAGTACTGCCGGAGGGTCGAACGGCGCGAACCATAGATGCATCTATTATCCCGCTCGTGAATCATACATGCGATGCAGTAAATCAAGTTTAACACATCAAACAATCAATCAATAATTTTATGAGAAGGCAATTATCCAAAGTAATGTCAAGTTAATCTTTAACGGTCAAGAAAACGATGTTTGACTTCCTAGAAATCCATTTGCCAAGTTCAATATGATTTACAAATTTTGTATTCAAAATAGGGTTACAAATACAGCAAGTAAAGTATACTTTTGGGTCCTGGACTACCCAGACTTAAATATAATAGTAGCTACGCACGGACTCTGGTCACCTCGTGCGTACGTAGCCCCCGCAATTAGTGGCAAATATTCAATTATTCCTCCTATGGGGATAATTCCCTCTTACAAGGTTAGAAAGGAGACTCACCTTGCTCCAAGGTTTACTTCCAATAGTAAGAACGCGCTCAAATCCTCAATTCAGAGCCGAACGATCCAAAACTAATCAAATGGGGTAAGAACTAATCAATACACACTCGAGAGTTCATATTCTAACTATTAAAGTAATTTCCCAACCCTAAATACAAGTTTCCTAAAATCCATCCCCGGGCCCACGTGTCCGGATTCCAAAAATTCTCGAGGGAAGTTGTTACCCATAACCTAAGGATTAAGAATATATGATTTTTACTTCATTACATAACAAATTCGTGGTTAAATCTTGTTTTTATCAAAACCCTAGGTTTTACTCTAAACCCACAATATTCACTAATTTACAAGGTGTAATCTACCCCTAAACTATGTATTAAACTCACATATTGTAGAAATAACTTACCTTACAGTGCTAGGCCGAAATCCTCTCTTTGGAAGCTCCCAAATCGCCCAACAATTGAATGAAATGTAACAACAATGATACACTTCCCGCAATAAATAAAGGCACTGCCTTCTGCGATTTCCGCACCTGTGGTTAGGGGACCGCATCTACGAGGAAGTGTCCGCATCTGCGAACTTTGCTTGGGCTGAGTGGGGGCCGCTTCTGCGGAAAAGGAGCCGCATCTGCGGTTTCTGGGTTTCTCCCCTGGGGCCGCATCTGCGAAGGCTTGACCGCTCCTGCGGTCTCACACCTGCGGCTGACCAACCGCATGTGCGGTTATGACTGCAACCTGTAGCTTCAGCTCTTTCCTATTTTTCTAACCCAACTCGAGCCTCGTCCGATTGACGCTCGGGGCCCCCGGGGCCCCGTCCCAACATACTGACAAGTTTGAAATCATAAAACGGACTCGCTCGAACCCTCAGAACGCCCGAAACAATGCTAAATCTAAGAATCACCCCCTAAAACCTATTGAATCAAACTTATGAACTTTAAGTTCTTCAATTCACATCCGATGCGACGAAACACACTTATACTACTTGGATTGACACCAAATTTTGCGTGCAAGTCTTTAATGACAATACGGAACTATTCCCGATCTCAGAATTCCGTTCGGACCTTGATAACACAAAAGCCCGCTCCAAACCAAATTTCAAGAACTTCTAAATTCTTAAAGAACCAACTTTTACTATTAGGCGCCAAAACGCTCCCGGATCATCCAAAACCCGGTCCGGGCATATGCCCAAGTCCGAAATCATCATACGAACTTGTTGGAACTTTCAAATCCGAATTCCGAGGTCATTTACTCAAAATATTGACCGAAGTCAAACTTGGCCTTTTAAGCCAATCCCAAGGAACCAAGTGTTCCGATTTCAACCCAAACTCTTCCAAATTCCGAACCAACCATCCCCGCAAGTCATAAATCAGTAAAAGCAAGTACAGGAAGCCTTATTTAGGGGAATAGGATTCTAAAAAGCAAAACAACCAGCCGGGTCGTTACATACAAAATGAGTAAAATAATCACAGAAAATCTTTTTGTAAAGGCCATATTAGCTTTCATATTGTCAAAAGCATTTTAGGCTTGCAGGCTTCTTTCATATCAGACAATAAAATTCCAAACAAAACTTTTAGCATTAAGCCTTAGAGAAAAGGTTTTCAATAGTAAGTTCCTACATAAACCTATCTAAATCTTTACATCCAGGAATTAAACTGACAGGGGTTAGAATTTTAGAATACACTTCTGATAAACAATAAACTATTAGACAAGTTATGCAACAAAATAGTTGAAGGTTTTCTTTCTATCTCAAACTAAAACTACCTCAATTAAGACACATACTTAACACGACTTAATGCTATTCTACCACATAAACCAGTCATTTGACCAGATCATAAATCACATGTAATCATAACATAATATCAAATGAAACTACAATTTGTTTATTAGCATGGATTCTAACAGATACTTTAATAGTCTACATGAATATCTTACAAATTAAGTATAATTGTTAGTAAACGAGATATAAAAATGTGATAAGTCATAACAATAATTTTATTAAAATGACACCTCTAGGCTGTTACTTTATCATAAAATAGGCCAGGTATGTTAAAAATAATTCTATGATCATGACTAATGAAATAAGGCTTTGAGCCAATGATTCACGTAAATGGTGCCTTTCAGCGATGACTTATGAATGATTGATAAAAATGAGGCATTTAAACCAATGATTGATGAAAACGAGGAATTTAAGCCAAATGATGATGTAATTGAGGCATTTAAGCCAAATGACTGATGAGGCATTTCAAGCCAAATGATTTAAGGTAATGAAAATATTTGTGGTGCATTTGTAAGGTAATTGTGTGGTGCATTTAAAATAATGGTGCAGTGTATTTGAAAGAATTTGCGTTGTGCATTTGCAAGCAATGATATAGTGCTTTTGAAAGCATTTGTGCAGTGTATTTGCGGTGCCTTTGAAAGCAATAGCGCAGTGCATTTCAAAGCAATTATATTGTGCATTTTGCAAGCAATGGTGCATTCGAAAGCAATGGTGCAATGCATCTGAAAGCATTTGTGTTGTGCATTTTACAAGCAATGGTGCAATGCATTTGAAAGCATTTGTGCGGTGCATTTGAAAGCAGTGGCGCAGTGTATTTGCGGTGCATTTGAAAGCAGTGGCGCAGTGTATTTGCGGTGCATTTGAAAGCCAATGCGCAATATATTTAAAGCCATGTGCGATAGAGTTTTCATTTAAAAAGTTAGTGGATGAAAAGTAATGACAATTAGTGTAAAATATCTTATAAGGCTCCAAAATTATCATTAGTAAAATGTCAAAATTGAATTTTAAAGATCATCATCATTTAAGAGGTATAGTTTTCTATAAGATACTATAAAGAAATTCAAACCGCTCGACGAATGGTCTTGGTATTTATACTCGTTATTGATTCTTCTACTTCCTCTATCTTGAAAATCTGCACTCAAAGAAAAATTGTGAGTTTTTTTTTTGGGGGTAGGGGGAAGGTTGATTCGTGTTGACTTTCATGCTCTGCCTTTTGAAAATCTTGCGCTTCCAATTTGTTTGGACTTACAACCTCCGCCCAATACTGAATCTTAGCGAGCGAAAAGTTAAGAAACTTTTGATGAAAAATTGATTTTTCATAAATATAATTTTATAAAAATAAAGTTTTTGCCGAACTCTGCACTGTGACATGCTTGTGAAACAAACTGAACGTCCTCATCTAAAATCCTGTCATTCGTCTTGCTTGACCATCTTTCGTCAATGACCGATGCCTTTAAAAACTGCCCCAGTTTCCAACTTGGGGCAAATATTGAATTTTATTATAATGAGACCGAACCCACAGGGCTGCCTACGTATCCCCTCTTAAACGGGAATCAGGTCAAACGTAGTTCATTTACATTAAGAAGCATTACATAGAAAAGAAAGATGCTGCCAGATATGCCTCTAGATGTAGTATCTCTTGACTGCATCTGCATTGATGGGCTTGGGCCATACTTCACCATCCGTTTCTGCTAGAATCAGTGCTCCTCCGGTCAATACTCGATGCACCATGTACGGACCTTTCCAATTTGGTGCAAACATTCCTTTAGCTTCATTTTGGTGCGGGAATATGCGCTTCAAAACCAATTGCCCCGGTTTGAACTACCTTGGTTTCACTTTCTTGTTGAAGGCTCTAGCCATCATGTTTTAATAGAGTTGACCATGGCAAACTGCAGTCATTCTCTTCTCATCAATAAGCATTAGTTGTTCATACCGATTCTTCACCCATTCTGCATTGCTCAACTCGGCTTCCTGGATGACCCTCAAAGATGGTATTTCAACTTTCGCGGGTAATACAGCTTCAGTTCCATAGACCAGAAGATAAGGCGTTGCCCCTGTTGATGTTCTGACTGTAGTGCGATATCCAAGGAGAGCAAATGGTAGCTTGTCGTGCCAATGCCTTTTGTTATCAATCATCTTCTGCAATATCTTCTTTATGTTCTTGTTGGCTACTTCAACGGCTCCATTCATCTGAGGTCGGTACGGAGTGGAATTTCGGTGAGTAATCTTGAACTTACCACATATTTCTTCCATCAAGTCACTATTGAGATTGGCTCCATTATCTATAATGATTGACTCATGGAAAGAAATATCAACTTCCATAAATGGGAAAATGGACTAAGTAAAACTTCACAGAAACATATAAATTAGTCGGAAAATACAGATTCTAGCCCTAATAGAGACTAATTAGGGCAAAACCACAAAATAATGGATTTGACAAAGAAAAAATGTTTAGGTCCAAGAAATAGAGCAAAATAATATGAGTGGTAACACAGAAATTACCCGGGATCGGAGCAAAGGTTAGAAAATCAGAGAATCAACTATGATTTAAGTATTTTTGCACAAATCAGTCATGAGGACAAAGAATAACTAATCGAACACTTTCGGAGTCAGAAAACCTTTGAAAACAACTTGGGACGAACCCTAGTTTTAGGGAAAAGTCGGAATAATCAGTTAAAACCAGATATTTTCAAAGAAAACAGGTAATAGTGCTCGATTCATCTCAGATCTATACAGATCTGAGAAGGATCGATAATATCAGACTGGGGTTTTTTCATGAAAGTAATAGAAGTGAGAGAATAGGCCAAGAGACCATAGATTCGTAGCGAAACAAGAGGAAACTCTTACTCACAGTCGAGAAAATGGCCTGAGACAGGCTAGTAAGCAAAGTGTCGAACCAGAACCGCTTGGGTTCCTCGAGATCGTCTCAAGGATCTAGAAAGTCAAGGAGCCATGGTGCGTAGAAGGCCAGGACCGGCCAGAGAAAACATGGAAACATCACAGGCTTGAGATACATGTGACGACCCGGCCGGTCGTCTTAATAATTTACGCCCCGATCCCCCATTAACTGCTCCCCCTAAGTTCTTTTCTGCTATTTTGGTTTACCGGGACGTTCGGTGTTGAGTTTCGGAGAATTTTGGGACACTTAGTCCCTAAATGAGAGCTTAAGTGTTGAAAAGTGGTTCGTAGTCGGAACAGTGTGAAGACGACCTCGGAATAGAAATTCGATGGTCCCGTTAGCTCCGCTAGGTGATTTCGGGGTTGGGAGCATGTTCAGAATGTATTTTGGAAGTCCGTAGCTCATTTAGGCTAGAAATGCCGAAGTTTGAATTTTATAAGTTTTCGGTCCGATAGCGAGTTTTTAATCCGAGGGTCGGATTGGAATTCCGGAAGTTACAATAGTTCGGTCATGTCATTTGGGATGTGTGTGCAAAATTTCAGGTCAATCGAACGTGTTTTGGTTAGGTTTTTGATCGAAAGCGAGTTTGGTTGAAATTTGAAGTTCTTAGGTTCAAATCATCGATTAATTTGAGTTTCCGGCATTGTTTTAGGTGGTTTAAGGATTGGAACAAGTTCGAATGATGATATGGGATATGTCCGTGGGTTTGGTTGAGGTCCCGGGGGCCTCGGGTGTGTTTCGGATGCTCAACGGAGCATTTTAGAGTTTGAAAGATTGCAGAAAAATTCTCAGCTGTTGCAGGTTGGATTTTCATCTTCGCGTTCGCAGCGCTTCGATCGCGTTCGCGTAGGTTTGTCTTACTCCTCCTTCGCGTTTGCGGCCCCTCTCACGCGTTCGCGTAGGGTAATCCTGGAGGGGGGCCAGTTCCTCTATCGCGTTCGCATAATGCTTCCGCGTTCACGAAGCTTCACTAAATTTCTTAACGCGTCGCGTTCGCACAGCTCATGACCCCCAGGCCTTCGCGTTCGCAGTACTATCTTCGCGTTCGCGAAGGGCATTTTTGGTCACTTAATTTTTTCCTTCTTCACGAACGCGAGCTCCTCTCCGCGTTCGCGATGCTTTATGGGTCTGAACAGTACTTAACATTTCAAAATCCGAGGGTTTGCCATTTTCTTCAAAATACAAGTTTGGGAGCTCGGATTTGGGAGCAATTTTGAAGGTTTTTCAAAGGAAACTACTGGGTAACGATTCTCTACTCCCTTAAGCTTAAAACCCACTAATCTAATCACAAATTCATCCTTAATTTCGGATTTTTTGCATGAAAATTGGGGAAAACTTCTTAGACCAAACTATTGGGTTTTGAGTGGGCATTTGACCTCCAATTTGGGAGATTTTTATATGGTTACACTCGTGAGAGTACGAGGGTTCTGAAAATGTGAAAATTATTCGATTCCAGGTGTCATGGCGACACAGCCTGTAGTCCCAGTTCAGCGGGTGGTGAGGACCTCTCGCCAAGTAGGAGACGGACGAGGTCAGGAGGGAGAGTATAGAGGAGTGAGTAGACCTCGTGGATCGGGGAGATATACTGGTCCTTATTTTGGAGGCAGGGTGCGTCATAGTAGCAGTTTTGTGAGTCAGTCAGCTTAGTTTGCATCTCAGAGTTTCCACAGAGTTTCAGGTGTTCAGGGGTCTTGGAGTACCCGTACCACACCATTCCCACTGCCACGTCCTCCTAGAGCTTGTTATGAGTGTGTGACACCCGTCATGTGGTGAGGGATTGTCCTAGACTTGGGAGGAGTGCACCTCCATAGACTGCTCAGCCACAACGTGCTCCTCAGAGTTCTCAGGCCATGATCATAGCTCCCGCTGCTACCCCATCTGCCCAGCCAGCTAGGGGCGGAGGTCGGGGAGGTAGAGGTCGCTCTCGAGAGAGAGGCCAGGCCAGATATTATGCTATTCCTGCTCGCACCGAGGCTGTTGCCTCCGATTCTGTCATTACAGGTATTATACCGGTTAGTCGTAGAGAGGCATCGGTTCTATTCGATCCAGGCTCTACCTATTCTTATGTGTCTTCTTATTTTGCTCCGCATTTGGGTATAGCCCGAGATTCATTGAGTTCTCCTGTTTACGTTTCTACTTCCGTGGGAGATTCTCTTGTTGTGGACCGTGTTTATCGATCGTGTTTGGTTACTATTCGTGATTTTGAGACCAGAGCGGAATTATTGTTACTCGGTATGGTTGACTTGATATCATTTTGGGCATGGACTGGTTGTCGCCCTATCACACTATTCTTGATTGTCACGCCAAGACCGTGACGCTGGCTATGCCAGGTATTCTGCGTATTGAGTGGAGTGGTAGCTTAGATCACACTCCCAGTAGAGTTATCTCTTTCCTTAAAGCTCAGCGTATGCTTGAGAAGGGGTGTGCCGCGTATTTAGCTTATGTGAGAGATGTCAGTGTTGACACCCCTTCTGTTGATTCAGTTCCAATGGTACGGGATTATCTCGATGTGTTTCCCGCTGATCTTCCGGGCATGCCGCCCGATAGAGACATTGATTTTGGCATTGATCTGTTGCCGGGCACTCAGCCAATTTCCATTCCTCCGTATCTTATGGCTCCTCCTGAGTTGAAGGAGTTGAAGGAATCAGTTACAGGAATTGCTTGGTAAGGGTTTTATTCGGCCCAATGTTTCACCGTGGGGTGCTCCTGTCTTGTTTGTGAAGAAGAAGGATGGTTCTATGCGCATGTGTATCGATTATCGTCAGTTGAACAAGGTTACAAGGAAGAACTGTTATCCTTTGCCTCGTATTGATGATCTATTTGACCAGCTTCAGGATGCACATGTGTTTTCTAGGATTGACTTGCGCTCAGGGTACCATCAGTTGAAGAATTCGGGAGCCAGATATCCCGAAGACTGCCTTCAGGACTCGGTATGGTCATTATGAGTTCCTTGTTATGTCATTTGGGCTGACCAATGCCCCAGCAGCTTTCATGCATTTGATGCATAGTGTGTTCAGACCATATCTTGACTCGTTCGTCATTGTTTTTATTGATGATATTCTGGTGTATTCCCGGAGTCGGGAAGATCATGAGCAGCACCTGAGGACTGTGCTTCAGACCTTGAGAGAGAAGAGGTTATATGAAAAGTCCTAAAATGTGAGTTTTGGCTGGTTCTGTGGCATTCTTAGGCCATGTGATTTCGAGTAAGGGTATCCGGTTGGATGCGAGGAAGATAGAGGCCGTGCAGAGTTGGCCCAGGCCGTCCTCAGCTACAGAGATTCGCAGTTTCCTTGGCTTGGCGGGCTACTACCGCCGCTTCGTGGAGGGATTTTCATCGATTGCGACCCCTATGACTAGATTGACCCAGAAGGGTGCCCCATTTCAGTGGATAGAGGAGTGTGAGGCGAGCTTTCAGAAGCTCAAGACAGCTTTGACTACAACCCCAATTTTGATGTTGCCTACCGGTTCGGGGTCTTATACTGTCTATTGTGACGCCTCGAGAGTTGGCCTTGGAGTGGTGTTGATGCAGGACGGAAGGGTGATTTCCTACGCGTCCAGACAGTTGAAGATACATGAAAAGAATTACCCTGTCGACGACCTTGAGTTAACTGCCATTGTTCATGCCTTGAAGATCTGGCGTCATTATTTATATAGAGTGCCTTGTGAGATCTATACTGATCACCGGAGTTTGCAGCACTTGCTCAAGCAAAAGGATCTCAATATGCGTCAGAGGAGGTGGTTAGAGCTGCTGAAGGATTATGACATCACTATCCTGTATCACCCGGGCAAGGCCAATGTGGTGGCGGATGCCTTGAGTCGCCGGGCGGAGAGTTTGGGGAGTTTAGCATACCTACCAGCTTCAGAGAGGCTTATGGCGATGGATGTTCAGGCCTTAGCCAGCCAATTAGTGAGATTGGACCTTTCGGAGCCCAGTCGGGTTCTAGCTTGTGTGGTTTCCCGGTCTTCCTTATTTGATCGTATCAGGGAGCAGCAGTATGAGGACCCTTATTTACTTGTCCTTAAGGACAAAGTTCAGCGTGGAGATGCCAGGGATGTGACCATTGGAGATGATGGAGTATTGAGGATGCAGGGCATGATTTGTGTGCCCAATGTTGATGGTCTTCGAGAGATGATTCTAACAGAGGCCCATAGTTCGCGATATTCCATCCATCCGGGTGCCGCGAAGATGTATCAGGACTTGAGGCAGCACTACTGGTGGAGGCGGATGAAGAAAGAT